TTTCTTTGTTGTTGCTTCACTTTCCCCTGATCCTAACCCACAGTTCCTTCCCTCACCTGAAAGCTCTTCCCTGACCCCTCCTGTCATGAAAAAGCCATAGTGCGCATCCCCTTGCTGCTCTACCTAACATGTTCTGTTCTCTGCTAGATCTTCCCATGGCCTGGGTTCCTTTCACCCACCTCTGAATAGGTACATTCCATTCCTAAGTACACTTCTGCCCACTCAAAAGTGAGCTTCAAAAGCAGTGATTCAGATCACAGGAGAGGAACAGTATGCTCTATTACCTTTTTCCTTCTGTTGACCTCTGCCCAACTCCCCTTGATCTGGCATTCACCTCAGCCCACACATCAGGTCCCAGTCCCTGTCTCCTCCCCTGTTCAGGTAGGCTTGATCACGTTCATGGCACTGGTGGGCAGCTTTGTGCCAGCAGAGGAGGCCGAAATTGGAGCAGTAGATGCCATCTTCACCCGAATCCATAGCTGTGAATCCATCTCCCTTGGCCTCTCCACCTTCATGATCGACCTCAACCAGGTCAAAAGGGTGCAAAGGGAGGCAGAATTGAGGGAAGCGGGTAGTGGGGGAGGAACACCACCCTGAAAAATGCTCAGAGCAAGAAAATCATTCCCTTTACCTGCATGCCCTCTATATGAGGGCTAGGGAACACCCTGTTCAGAGACTAGCAGCATCAATACCATAAACATTTATTGAATTCTTTCTTCTCACAAAGCACTGTGGTAATACAAGAGTGAAAAGAACATATGCCTTGCTATGAAACAACCTGTGGTCCAACAGAGTAGTAGACATATATGTAAATAGACAAACAGTTTTATTTACAAGCACACCATGGTCAGTGCGTTACAGATCTTTCTGTACTAACTAAACCCTCCTTTGTTCACTTCATGTCTGGTAGGTGGCTAAAGCGGTGAACAATGCCACTGAGCAGTCTCTAGTCCTTATCGATGAATTTGGAAAGGGAACCAACACGGTGAGGGGAGAAAGTGATCAGAACTAAGAAGAGGGAAGTGGAGGAGGATGAAGGAGCATGACAACGAGGCTGGGCCTTAGGGAAAGAATAGGGATGTGTGGGGCAGAAGAGAAACAGTGTGAGGCGGGAAAAGACCATGGCAGAGGGGGCACATGGGCTGCCCACTTCCACATCTTTCCCTTGCGCTTTGCACAGGTGGATGGGCTTGCACTTCTGGCTGCAGTGCTGCGACACTGGCTGTCACTTGGACCCATGTGCCCACAGATCTTTGTGGCCACCAACTTTCTAAGCCTTGTTCAGTTACAGCTGCTGCCGCAAGGGCCCCTCATTAAGTATTTGGTGAGGATATCCATCTAACCCCTATGATCCCCTTGGCTGGGTGTTTCCCATGGTGGGGATTGGCTCTCAAAAGGACCATGTCCCTTCCCTTTTCCCCACAGGGATTAACCATGGGTTTCAGGGTTAAGAAGCAGGATGATAGACAAACACTGATCCCCTCTTATTCTCTTCAAAGACCATGGAGACATGTGAGGATGGGAATGACCTTGTCTTCTTCTACCAGATTTGTGAAGGTGTTGCCAATGCTAGCCATGCCTCCCACACAGCTGCCCAGGCTGGGCTTCCTGACAAACTCATTGCTCGTGGCAAGGAGGTGATGTTATTAACACATTCAACCATTTCCTTCTCAGGGCTCTCTTTCCTCTCAGAGCCCTGGGTTCTGAGCCCACAAGATGTCTTGCCCTTACTGTCTCTACTCTCAGCTGACTCCCTCCCTCATCTTCTTTCCTTCCTGTTGGTCCTAGGTCTCAGACTTAATTCGCAGTGGAAAGCCTATCAAGCCTATCAAAGACTTGCTAAAAGAGACTCAAATGGAAAAGTGAGTGTGTGGCTTTCTGTCCTTGTTCTCTTAGCAACTTCTGCAGCCCTTCTCCCATTCTTGGGGACTCAAACAGTCTTTTCCAGCACTTTACCTTTCAGAGACCCACATTTCTTTCTGCAATCCCTACATCCTCAAGGTTCCAGGTTTCCTGTGCTACAGCCTTCTCCCCTCTGCTCAGAGACTCATATATCTCTTCCTCCATAAATCTAGCTATTTTCTCTCCCCTTCAGTTGCCAGACCTTGGTGGGTAAGTTTCTGAAACTGGATTTGGAAGACCCCAACCTGGACTTGGACATTTTCATGAGTCAAGAAGTACTGCCTGCAGCCACCTCCATCCTCTGAGAGACCTTCCTCTGTGCTCCCCAATTGCCCCAGTCTGTGTATACTCCATGTGCTCTTTTTGATTCCTTTTTTCTTTCAGAGTAAGAGTTCTCGATTTCCATGAACATTTTGTTATATATGAAGAATAAAGTTTGTCTTTGATAAAGTCATTGTTTACTTAGACCAAAACAAAACAAGAAATTAGGAAGGAGCTGAAACGTTTAATGAGAGGGACCTTTGCCAACTCATTAAAAATACAGTGACACTGCTTAGAGAGACCCTTGGGCTCTATCCAGGGAGCTCTCAGGAGAACAAAGCACCCTGGGGAGGCTCTAAAAAAAGCAGATTAGAGGGGAGACAAAGGATCCCAAGGGAGATGGTGTTTCCTGGTAAGTAGGAATACCCGCACCTCAGACAGACACAATGGGGAAGGCCCTGAGAGGCTGAAAGGGTAGAATGGGGGAAAGCCAGGGTGGGCAGGCTAAGACCCTCGCAGCTGTGAGCTGCCCCTGGTATGGGTCCCCTATTCGGTCCTGCTGCTGCTGGGGACAAGCTGCCAAGACCCAGAGGCCCAGAGCTGCTGCTTCTGGGTGAGTGGTAGCCAAGGGAAGCCCCACTCCCTATTCCTGCCCCCCTATATTTCCACTTAGCTTTAAGGATTCACAAGTCTTCCCTGCTTTCCCTGCCCACAGTGGTTAGCCTGGGCTTATACCCAGAGACCAGACAATGAACCTAGCCAGGGGTTGGGAGGAAGGGTAGTGGCTCAGTCAACTTCTACTCCCTGCCTTTTCCAGCTTCAGAACATGCAGAACCTGAAGCAAGAACAGGACGTTTTGCGGCAGGGCCAGGAGCTGCTGGAGCACTGCAAGGCCTGGATTGAGGGAAGCCCAGTGGCAGAAGCTACTTCTGGCTTTTGGTGAGGTATAGGGCTGCCCTTCTGTGTCTGTGTACATGGGAGGCACAGGGACTAACTATGTGGACACAGCTTGAGACTATCCTGGAGCAGGGAGATGTAATGGACAGGAATCAGGAATTGGAGGCTGCATTATAATGACAGGATGCCACAGAGTGGTAAGTGGTGCTCACTGTTGAGATGGAGAAGATTGGACTGCACTTCATTCAGAGGGACATGATTTGAATCATTCTACTGAGATGGGGGAGCCACCTGGATTATTCTGATGAGACAAGAGATGAACAGGGAAGATACATAAAGAATAGCAAAAGGGAGTATAGTATTTGAGGGGATGGAGGAACTAGCATGCTGAAGAGATGGCAGTGCAGACTACTGGATCTTTCTGCCTGCTGGGAAGGGGTGGCCCATGTGGAAAGGAATGTCCTTGGTAGATAGGAGAAAAGTGAGAGGTGGATCTCAGGTTTTCCCCATGTTGGCAGTTTCCAACTCCTGCTTTTTTAGAATTTTCTAAAAGATTTATACTCAGAATCTGTGACCTCCAGTTATCTCAGATTCAAAAAGGTCAGCATCTGTTTGCAGACTCTGATTATGGGGAAGGTGAATTTATTGTTTTTAGTTTAGACTTTTCAGGAAACAGGGAATTGGGTGGGGGGGAGTTACATGGGGTCAGCACTGTTTTCAATTTTTCCCCCAGTTTTTTTCATAGCCATTGAACATGGCTAGTTCCTGCATCACCCAGGATTGAAAGGAAAGGCCAAGGAAGCAGTATTTGTGGCAGCAGTGAGGCAAACTGTAGGGATATGGGGGAAGAGCAGCCCTCACCCCATGGGACAAAGTGGAGCTCTAATGCCCTGGCTGTTTTTGTTTTCTCCCCTCCCCTCTCCTCTCCTCCCTTTCTCTTTTTCTTGTCTCTAGGGATTCTCAGACAGTGGAAAGGAGTCATCCAGCAAAGGCAGGGATGGTGGAGTCCAAGGAGCAGAGGGGCCCTGCCCTTATCTAAGGCTTCCTCCTACTCCCCTCAGTCTGGCGAGGGAAAAGGCCCAGTCAGAAATCCCAGCCTTCTTATGCTGTTTCTTAACCAAACAGCTAACTGGGTTAGGTGGAAGATTAGCTGAAGTTCAAAAATATTGGTATAGTTTCTCCTCTGCTCCCGAAAACTTCCATTTCATCTTTTTGGTGTCTCATGCCTTTACTCTTCCCTATAGGAGTACTGGTGTGGCATTGTGAGTTAATGTGTCAGACTGCAAAGCTGTTTGAACTGCAAGATTGGTGGTTCAAGCTTACCAGCTGCTCCTTGGAAACCCTATACAGGGTCACTATTGGTCAGAACTGACTCGATGGCACTTAACAACAACAAATAGGACACATAAAACTGATCTGTCTTTTAAATCTCTCTGGGGAGGATACATGTTTATTGAAACTATCTTTCAGCTTTAAATACAAAAATAAAATGGAACATGCTCTGGAGTTTCAAATTTTAAAAATTCTATAAATAACACTTCCTGGTACCCTACCTCACTCCGAACCTTAGTCTTCTCCCCATATACCTTCCCCCCACCTGAGCCTAAGCAAGCACGAATAAGTAGAAGAAAAAAGATGTTACAGAGAAATGGAAATCAACCTTCTCAAAAAAGAAATCTTCAGTTTTGTTCCCACAGGTTTGGGAGGGAAAGTGCATTGTAGGAAACGCCATTGCCCGCCATCCCAAACGAATGGTTTTTAAGAAAGAGAGGGACAAAGTGGGGTCCCGGGTCTATATTTCCTTCTCACCCGTGGGGCAGATTGAAACAAGCTCTCTTGCTACCAGGAGGTCAGGCCAAGCAGCAGCAGCAGCAACCCTCCCACTGTGCCCCACCAGAGGCTGCTGGCCATCCCTCTTCCAGCCCTGCCAGGAGTCACAGAAGTGGACAGGTGAAAGTCAGGGCTGGCAGGGGTGAGGCCAGGGCAAGTTGAGTCTGTGGAGGCAGCGAGCTGGTCCTAGGGATAAGAAGAACAGACTGGCAGGGTAGGACTGGCTGGGGCTGCATCCAAATTAAACCCACACGGTCCTCTTCTTAGGAGCCCTGGTGGCACAATGGCTAAAGCGCCCAGCAGCTAATCGACAGGTCTGGGGTTCAACCCACCAGCCCAGCTGCTCTGTGGGAGAAAGATGTGGCAGTATGTTCCAGTAAAGATTACAGCCTTAGGAACACTATTCTGTCCTGTAGGGTCGCCATGAGTCGGAAAGACAGCAGAAAGAAAAGAGGGATGTTTTACCTGCGGGGACGGGGCAGGCGCCAGCACTAGGAGCCGGAGGAAGGCATGAGTCGTGGGCACTGAGCTGGCTTCACGACCCACCGCAGTCACAGTCACCATCACCAAGGAGTCAGGGGAGGCTGAGTCTGGAACCTCCAGCCACAGGCGCCCCCAGGTGGACTCATTCTGCCCCAGATGAACCCTGGAGCATGAATACAGACAAGCTGCTGGAGCCCAGGACTCCAATAAGCCACAGAGTCAAGCACAGCTGAGGAATCTGAGGGCCAATCAGAAGGGGCCAGAGGCGGACCTTGGAATAATAAACGTGAACAGAACCCGACGCCCTAGAACCCACAGGTAGCGCCAGAATAGACCCAAAAGGTCTCAGGGGCTTCACCTGGAGATGTTAGAGGTTAGGGCGAAGTTGGGATTGACTGAAGTCCTAAGGTCGAGATCCTGAGGGCCCAAGAAATTGGCGATATGGAGGCTGAGTGGGACCTTGCTGCCGGGGGCCAGGAAACCAGGAGGGCCGCTGAGCTGAGGAAGTGGGCCAGTCAGAGGATGATGCAGCCCAGCTGCTTCCTGCCCCAGCAGTACCCGCCCCTGGCGTCTCACCTCTAGAAGCACAGGGACCACTGTACAGGGTTGGAGGGCTGCCCTTTGCAAGCCGCGCCCCGCTCTGTCCTGGCCGATCAATTCCAGAGAGAACGAACCAGGCTTGGACAGCAGTGTAGGCGGCAGTGAAGCCGCTAGGCGACCTCGCTTCTGAAGACCTGTGGGTTCCAAGGGCACCCGACCCACCTCAGTGCCCTCCGGGACCCTTCGAAGGATAACATGAGAGAAATATGGCCCATGATCCTCAGCGTTGTCTCTGGAGCCAGGCCCTGTCACCTCTACCAGCAGCTGGGTCTGGAGACCTGGGGCAGGGGAGAGAAGTGTGCTCTATGTGAGATTCAGTGACACAGTGAAGAAAGATGATAGGTCTTCCGACTAATGGTTACCTCTGGCAGGTATGGATAGGGAAAAGTCGTTATCCCTGAGGGGTACAGATGGGGAGGATGAGGAGGGAGTTCCCGGGTGTTGGAAATGAAATGTTTTATATCTTGAAATGGATGATGGTTACAAGGGTTTGTATATATGAAATCCATCAAGCTGTGCATTGAAGATACGTGTACTTTAACTCCTCCACTCCACCTCCAAAAAGGCAAAATACCTGTTGCTTTCCATTCTGACTCAAGAGAGAGACATAGAACAGAATAGAACTGCTCCCTAGATTTTCCAAGACTGCCACATCTTTCTTCTATGGAACAGCTGGTATCTTTCAGTTGGCAGCTGAGTGCTTAATCACTGCCCCACCAGGTCTCCTTATTGCACTTTACTATATGTAAATTATAATACAAACATATAAAAACATTTTTAAAGCATTAATGAACAAGGTGAGGGAGAATGGGAACCAGGTGTACCTGCAACTGGCTGAGTCAGAGGATAGAGGCCAGGGTGGGGCCCATCCTCCACTGGGATCCCAAAGTGGAAGAGGAAGTCCAGGGAGGTCTGGGCTGAGGGAAGGCAAAGGTAATCAGAGACCTCCCAGAACTGAATGGAACTGACACATCCCTCTGAGGTCTGCAGTTTCCCCTTCCTCTTTACCAAAGTACCTCCCTCCTTACCTTGCACTCTCACCCGGGGCGTGCCCTCAGATGTGACCTGGATCTCCCAGGTCCCAGTCTGTGGGGGATCATTCATAGTCACCATCCAGAACTGTCCAAAGCGTTGAGTGTGACCTAGAGGACCCTCACCTTCCTCCTGGCCCTGGGAGATCCCTGAGGGGAGGGGATAAGAATTGATTACTACATAAGACAATTCTCTCTTCCCTCCAAGCCCCAGAACTGAAGTCCTCTCTTCCCTCATTCTCCAATCTCCATCCTTCCTTCTCCCTTGAGACACAAACATGGAGGTACCTGCAGAATTCCTGATCCAGAAACTGCTGATCTTCCCGTGGAGCCGGACTGTAATCCTCTGCAGCAGCTCATCCACAGTGAATGTAAGCAGTCTTCCAGGCACCACGATTGGTGGTTCCAGGGGAAGGGTGACCTTGTGGGACCGGCAGTAACAAAAAACAGAAGAGAGGATAAGCTATGGAATGAGGTAGAAACAAAGGAAAAAGACAGACAGAAAAAAATTAAGTCGTACATGGAGAAGGGATACTAGTGAGAGAGGTACAGCATCAGGGGTTAGATTACAGTCAGTGACCAATTTTGGGGCAAGGAATTAAGAATAATATGTTCATTTTCTGTCCCCCCTTTAAAGATGGCAGGACTTCCTGTGTCAGTTTGGAGGGCAAAATACTGAAGACCAAGATGAGAGGTCATACTAATATGGAAGAAGCAAAGTAGAAGGTAGGTAGCCATGAATCTCAGAGGGAAGGAAGTTTCCTTTCCCACCCTTCAGATTGGAATGGCAACACAGTATTGGGATCTCTTCCCTCTTGGACTAGGAGAAAGAGATACAATTGTCACCCAACCCCTTGGTTTTGATCTCAGGACACAGGTCCCTCTGGCTCCTACACTTACTCACCAGGTCAACCATGCTTTCCCCAACTATGGCTGCAACATCCTGAATGTACTGGTCTTTGGTGAAGATCACTTCTCCTCCGGAGGCTAGGGCCACCGCCTCATATGGCTCAAAACGCAGAGGGGACAAGACCTCACGTCGGGCCCGAATCTGAACCCTTGATGGGTCTTCAGTCACTAGGAACGTCACCTATGGCCATAAGAGAGCCTAATACTTGTGTCCAAGTACTGTCTACCATCATGAATGAGGGACTTCCTGTGTTCAAGCTTTCTACAGAGCTGATGATTGGTGATAAAGTCTCTGTACACTCTGACTGCTACTGTGGGGTCTCCAATTACACAACCCCCTGGCCTTTAGTTAGTAGTTGGCCACCCTCTTATAACTGCTACCATAATATTTCACAGTAGATTTTTAGAACTATATCTGCAGGTCTTCAAGTGGTTTATTGGAATAGGTTCAAATATGAACTCAACATTCTTAAGGGTAGGGTTTCACAGTCTTGAGTGTTATTACAGGTATCAGGAAATGTAACATTCACTGCCTGTATCTCCCCTCCTCCCCTTGTCAAGGCTGCTCTACCACCATAGTAAGGTATGACATATTATGAGATTGTTGTCATAGGGTCTCCCACATCATTGGGTGGCTAACATTGGGTCACCCACAAGCTATGCTTACTCTGCAGCGTCGCTCCTGAGTCAGAGATTCCACCCGGTTGGTGAGAAGGGCATCCTTGGGGGAAGCGTCAGTGAAGACAAAGATGTCTGAGAGTGGAGGTGTGTGCAACAGTGCTAGCTGGCAGGAAGGGAAAGGACTGGTGTTAATAATGGCAGGGTACAGAGAAGGGGAGAGCAAGGAAGGACAGAGTGAAAGGCAAGATAGCCCTAGAATGTAGAATTGAAGGTGGGAGTGGGTAAGATGTGAGAGGGGCAGATCCCAGGAAGGTTTTAGCTTGGTGACAGAGCCCAGGAAGAAAGGACTAAGAAGAGAAGAAGTGATGGGCCAGACCTCCACAGCTGACAGGCACATCTCAGGCTCATCTCCACCTCCCAATGCGTGAATCTCATTGAGTTGTTGCCAGAAGCTATCTGGGTCACTGGTTGTAAAGACAGGGCCAAAGCCTGGAGATGGGGAAAGGAGGTTAAAATGAGTGGGAGGCAGGTTCCTCTCATTGCTACCCAGGGACACCTCCCAAGTTGAGAGGCCTGCTGTGTTCCTGGGGTGGGTAATAACAATATTCCCTTATATTTATATGGCTCCTTAAACTTGTTAGTACAGGGCAGGGCAGAGGTTAGGTACTCCTAGTGGGGAAGTAGGCCTCGTGACTCCATTCTCTTAACAAAATGGTGGCACTTCCTGTGCTCCTGAGTGGGCCTTTACTGGATATGTGTATGTATAAAAAGGAAATTGGGGCTTCTGTTTTCTCATCAGAAAAGTCAGAGAAAGTAATAGTTCTCAGAAGGTTATCAAGCAAACTATGTGAGTTGATTTTGTAAATCTTAGAATAGTGCCTTGACACATAATAACTGCTAAAATCCTAATTATTCATTCATATATACCATCAGCAAACATGTTATAAGTCTCTATGAAGTACCAGCAACTATGAGACTTAAATAGACACATCAGACACAAACCTTGCCCTTAGGGAACTCCCAGTAGGCATTTTATTTGATCACCATTTCAACCCTGAGAGATAGGAAGAATTGTTTTGTTGTTAGGTGCCGTCGAGTCGGTACTGACTCATAGCGACTTTAAGTCCAGCAGAAAGAAACACTGCTTGATCCTGGGCCAACCTCACTATCATTGCCATGCTTGAGCCCATTGATGCTGTCACTTTGCCAATCCATCTCTTTGGGGGTCTTCCTCTTTTTCTCTG